GGTCCATGCCGAGTTGAGTCTTTGGGAGGATGCAGATTTTTCGTGTCAATTATTGATGATTATTCAAGGATGACTTGGGTATACATGATGAAGCACAAAAGTGATGCTATCCAGAAGTTCAAGGAGTGGAAAACACTGATGGAAAATCAAACAGGGAAGAAGATCAAGAGGTTGCGAACTGATAATGGACTGGAATTCTGTTGGTCTGAATTTGATCAATTCTGTAAGGATGAAGGGATTGTTCGACATCGTACAGTCAGGGATACACCACAACAGAATGGTGTAGCTGAGCGAATGAATCAAACACTCCTGGAGAGAGCAAGGTGCATGCTCTCTAATGCTGGGCTAGACAGAAGGTTCTGGGCAGAAGCGGTTAGTACAGCTTGCTACTTGATTAACCGCGGACCACATACAGGCATTCAGTGCAAGACACCTGTGGAGATGTGGTCAAGAAGAGCTACTGATTATTCAAATCTGAAAGCTTTTGGTTGTACAGCTTACTATCATGTCAGTGAATGTAAGCTAGAACCACGAGCTAAAAAGGGAGTATTTGTGGGCTACGGAGATGGAGTGAAAGGTTTTAGACTCTGGTCTCCAGCAGAAAAGAGGGTTATTCTAAGCAGAAATGTTGTCTTTGATGAAAGTTCTCTGCTTAAAACCATCGTGAAGCCTACAATTACGTCAGAAACTGAGAGTCTTGATAAACAGGTGGAGCTTCAAGTCGTTCAGAACGAAGGTGATACGAAAGAACCTGAAGGGGAGAATCAAGAGTCACAGACAGAAACTGATTCCCCAGAATCTATGCCATCAGATACCCATCGCAGTATAGCTCAAGATCAACCAAGAAGGGTTGGAGTTCGGCCACCTATGAGGTATGGTTTTGAGGATATGGTGGGTTATGCACTGCAGGTTGCTGAAGAGGTAGATACTTCAGAACCATCTACCTACAGAGAAGCCGTTTTAAGTTCTGATTCTAAAAAATGGTTAACTGCTATGAGAGATGAGATGGAGTCCTTGCATAAAAATCAAACATGGGATCTTGTCATACAGCCTCCAGGGAGAAAGGTTATTACATGCAAATGGGTTTTCAAAAGGAAAGAAGGAATATCACCAGCAGAAGGGGTCAAGTATAAAGCCAGGGTCGTTGCGAGAGGCTTCAACCAAAGAGAGGGAGTGGACTACAATCAATGTTCGAAAAGGCGAAACGTAAACGCGCCTCAAGGCGCGCCTCGGAACTTTTTCCTGAAAAAACGCCTCAAGGCTAATCCCGTTTTCACGCTATAGGCTTTTTTACGCTATTCTGTGAAAGGCGTACGCCTTGGGGCGTACGCGCCGGTGCGCGCAATAAGGCTTACGCAATAAGGCTTACGAAATTGGAAATTAAACAATTTAAATTTTGGGTATTGAACCGTTTAAGTTGTCAATTACTAAATTAATTAACCCAATTAAGGTGTACATATCCTAAAATTACCCAAAATTAGTGTCGATTACCCTCCTAATCTTTGTCGATTACTTTTGGCGAGCTACGAACCGTCTCTAGCCGTCCAGCGTCGCCGTCTGCAGCCTTCTTCTCCGGCGAAAAGGTATGCAGTCTTCTTCCCCGTATGCAGTCTGTGTTTCTTTACTCTTTCTTTCTTTCTTTCTAGCAACGTTTCTTTGTAGTCTGCGTTTCTTTCTAGTCTGCATTTTATCTCTGCGTTTTTCCAGTCTTCTTTCCACCTGTTAATATCCTCTTTTTTTTCTTCTTTTTTTGATTACTGATGTGCTAATTGTTCTATTTTTTTTTGTTTTTAAGATGAATTATTGCATAGTATCGTATTGTTTATTTTGCTGTTTCAGAAATTAGAATATTGCTTAGATGTCGGACCCAGCATGGAAGTATGGTGTTGACTCAACACCCACAATCGAAGGGAAAAAAACTACAAATATGTACACTGCAATTTTTTTAAAAAAGATGTCAAAGGTGTTGAAACACGGGTTTATCGTGTTTTTGTACTAAAGCCATGTTCGTTTTTATGACAGGTTTTGATAATGCCAAACCGCTGTGAACGAGACAAGTTATTGAATATACAAAGCGAGAAATAAATATACGAAGAAAGCAAGAGAACAAGACCCAAAAGAAGACCAAGAACGAAGACCGTTGTCTTAGTGTTGTTGAGTCGGTCATAATTGTGATCAAGACCGACCCAACCTTTACACCTTGGCTCTTTAGGCTAAAATTCTTTTCATTGCATTTCACACATCATAAAAATGTTTTTCAAACATGTTTAAAACATTAAAAACACTTGGTGTTCGCCCAAACCAAAAATCAAGCCATCCGGCGTTCGGGTTTCAGAAACCAGCGTTCGGCTTTCGGTTGTCGGGTTTGGTTTTTGGCGTCCGAACTAACCAAATGGTTTTCAACTTTTTATGATTGATTTTTACTTCTAGCACATTTAAATAGTTTTCCATCAAAAACACTTCAAAAACCACCTTT